TTGCCGGCCTGGAGAAACAGCAGAGTCAAAAGACGAATGGAGAACAAAAGGAACTCGTGGAAGAGCAGTCGCCCGCGAGTTCTGAAACTGCCGAATCCTGAAAAGACCTGAACCTGACCATCATCATTTTTCATCAGACACATCTGCTCATCGCCACTTCTTCATCACCACTCGACTTCGATTTGGTTAATTTATATCATTGGCAAAAAAAAGTAAAAGACGCTGTACAGTTTTTTCTAATGGTTCTTATGACACTAGTGATTTTATTTTGATCGTCTGTGATCTTTCTGATGATGGTGATGATCGTCTCGGTGGTGATGGTGTTGGTGTTGCCGTTTATGTTTGGCCTTTTTCTCCTTTCTTTTTCGTTTTCTACGACTGTGATCGTCGCCGCTGGAGGAAGAGGAAGAGGATGAAGATGAGGAGGAGGAAGATGAGGAAGAAGAAGATGATGATGAAGACGTCGAAGAATCTGAATCCGATGAAGAACCTCGGTGATGTTCCTCCTCCTCTTTTCTCGCCCTCTTCTTGAGCCGCCTTTTCTTTTCCTCCTTTTTCTTCTTTTTCCACTTCTTTTTCCTCTTTTTCTTCTTTTTCTCATCTTTGGAGCTTTCGAGCATCCGCTTCAGCATCTCCACCTTCTCCGCCTTGGCACGAATCTCACTTTCCCGCACGTAGTTGTACATCGGGTCCTCGTGCAGGTGGCGAAACTCCTCCGCCTCCTTGTTGCCGCTCAGGAAGAGCGGGCACTCCTTGTCGCCGGTTCGGTGGCCGTAGTTCTTGCAGCGCCAGCACTTCATCACCTTCACCTCCTTGCCCAGCGGCATCCACAGGCCCTTGGTGGGCGCCTTCGCGAGAAAGTCCCGCGCGGCGCTGTTCGCCGGCGTGTCCGGAATCACATCCTCCGGCCGTTCCTCCTCCTCGTCGCCGCTCTTGATCAGTCCGGGCGGCGGCTTTTCATAGCTGAAAACAAAGAACAAGTAAAACACTTTATGAGCAACGATTGAAAACAGTTTGAACCAGAGTTCCTACAAGGAATCGTAGTGCTTGAGCGCATCTAAAAGCTGTCCGTCCACGCTGTTGCTCTTGTTATTGTTGCTGGACTTGCCGCCACCACTGCCACCACCACTGCCCGAGGGTCGGTGATCTTTAGAGCCGGACATTTCTGGGCGATGATGAACATCTGAAGCAGAACCAGAACCAGAAAAAAAGGGAAACTGGTCTCAAGGAACACAACAACAAAATCTGGTAACGATTTAGAAGTGATCAACATTCTAGTCGCGCCAGCTTATCGATAGATAGCGCCAGCAGTCTACAAGAAAAGAGGCCGAAAAAATCTAAAGCAAACACTTTTTATTTCTGCACTGGTTGACAGCACCGAAGCACCGAAGTTTGGCTACATTGTTCTCCCATTTGGCTCATTTCATCTTTTTGGAACTCTCTCATCCCACATCCTAGGCTAGTGAAGTAGTACCAGTTTCTGCTGGTTTGTTTCATTTCAAGCTTACCTGTTTGTGCTCAATTTGCACACCTTTTTTGCCATTGCATCTGCCCAGTTGC